AACTTACGGCGAGTCTCCAGCCTGACAACTTACGGCGAGTCTCCAGTCTGACAACTTACGGCGAGTCTCCAGTCTGACAACTTACGGACAGTCCAGCCAACACTTCGAATCATTATTTCACCAAATACAGATACAACTTATCTCAACTAACTTCCTTCGCATAACTGCTATTACAATATTTCTCTGTAACCAAATAGACGCATCCTAAACAATATATTCCATATGGTTTAGTCAAAATAAAAAACAAAATTCACGGATTGCGGACAGCAAAGAACCAATAGACCCAATATAATCGTCTGTTGTCGACACGTCCGTTGGGGTCTGACCAAAGTGTGTGTGTTGGTGTGTTCCAGTGCCGCAGCAGACGCTGGAGCTGACGGACCGCCGGCCGTCGTCTGACGCCGTCAACCTGTCGTGCCAAGCGCAGGGCGTCTACCCGGAGCCGAAGATGGCGCTCTACCGAGACAGCGACCGCATGAGCGAAATGTGAGTAGAACCGTCTTTTCCTAGATATATCAGAAGTGGGATGAGAATTTCACTGAAACATCGTCAACAGTTTGATTTCTGATTCCGGGATGGTCCCGTAAGCGTAGTGCATGTGTTTAATGCGTAATGTGGCGGTGATCTTCCCGCGATGGATGGTGACGTCCGGCGCCCACCTACGCTTCTGCTTGGGGAATTCTCCCCAACCAAGTATCTCCCACCAGCGGGGCACCGCTCCAGCAAATTCGCCTACAATATCCGATTTCCCCTTAGACTTAACTTTTATTCCATTTAGAATCGTGACTTACCTTGGACGAAGAAGTCACTTTTGTTAGTGCCGTACGTCAACAATAGCAATGAAACCTTTACCAGTTCCTCGTTCGTCCCTCCTGTGTAACCGTCCCCCCTCATGAATACTAACCTGCTTTCTCAGAGTGTCCAATACTATCCCCAAATCCTCACATTCAGCCTCCCTCCTCCTGCTCTAGCCTAGCTCCTTCGCAAATGCAAAGCATATCCATACATTACATCTAGAGTACGGTTTTTATTATTCTGTCCCTCTAAGACCAACTTCGCGGTGGCATTCTGTTTCTATATTTCATGACTTTCTCGATCGTGCCGCTAGATGTCGCATGATTGCGACCGTATTTGGCACTGGTGTACGGTCGCAATCGCGTGACATCTAACGGCATGGCCGAGATTTACCCGGAAAACTGTGACATACTGCCGCCGGGAAGAAAGCCCTTGAGGGGCACAGTTATGTGAAACCGCACTCTAGTAGTTCTGTGTACTATGGTTGTACGTCCTGTCCTCGGAGCTGGAGGTGACAGGGCGTGATGGCATGTCAAAGCGAAGAATTGTTCATTTGCGGAATGTCTTCTGAGCGGCACGTAACTGGAGTTCAGAGCATGGTATTGCGGAAGGGACACCCAGACATCCTTCTTTGAACCAATCCTCCTTTCCAGAAGTCATTCTTCATATCTCCGCCAATTCGAGATTGTTCTAAATAATGTACGCATCCTCCCTTAGCCAATTCAATGTCTTGGTGCCCGTTCTCCACTGCACCAATAAAATCCCAGACGTCTCACTCTCGACAAATCTTTTTCTTCTGTATGTGTTATCACAATGAATTTACGTAATTATAAATATGGACGACAGCAATAAAGGGGGTATAGAAAAAAAACCGGGAGGTGAGCTTTATTTTGGAAAGAATACATGGAAAGAATAACAGAATTGATAGTGGGGAAAATTAAGCAGTGAGAGGGCACGTAAGCAAATTCCGGGGAGCAGAAAATAAATTACAAAGTTATTACGAGCAGGAAACCAAAGAATAAACAGATACTACCTACCAGATACCAATCAGAAGGGAGATCGTGTGAGATGAGAGGCAGAGGAAGGGCGCGCGTGATGAGCGCGCGAGATGAAAAAACGGGGCAGACGACAATGTTCTGGTACGATGTGAGCCAGGTGTAAAAGTAAAAGCTATTTTGTTGCGGGAAGAATTAGACTTAATAATGATTTGTAAAGACGATGTTAAGGTAATAAAAACACAATTATAGAGAACATATAATTTCGTGTGAGGGGGGTCGCAAACATCATTAGGGCGGACCGAATTCTTTGGAATTGGAGGCTGGACGGAAACTGGACGACGATCAAGATTGCGGCGAATCTCCGGAAGGAAACTAGCGAATCGGGGAACATTTGTTTTTATTTGTATTTGTCGTTGTGGAAAGATCAAGGTTTATACTACAGTAAAATTTCTAAATTAATGATTACGATAGAATTTGGCCACGCATGCAAAAGGGGAGGGATTGGTAGGAAGTAGTAGATAATGAGTGTAAGAAAATTCGCGAAAGAAATATTGTGTTTACGAAAATGGTTTTTGTTGTTGTTTTTAAGCGTTTGTGTTTCTCAGCGTAATAAATAATTTTACGTACCTTAAATAAATATTTCGCTACCGAATATCTGTACAGACGGCCTATCAGACTCACACATATGTACATTTATAAACACAATCTTTCTTTCATGAATTTTTGTTCCACTCATTATCTGCTACATTAACCCGCAGTTATGCTGGCTGCAGTCTCTGAGAGGTAGGTGCTAAACCGGTTCCTTCTTAGAATAATATATCTTTACCCTTCGCTCTTCGCCAGTACGATTGCCTCTTAGACATAACACGTTGCTCTACCTGTATCCTTGTATCCTCCCTTTGCTAAAGTAAGACCTTGTTACCTTTCGAAACTGTACGATCTGGACGTGCAGCTATCTAGAACCCATTCTCGTCAGACGGGGTTCTCACTACTACTCTTTTCTCTCAACCAATCCGATTTATCTTTAGACATAAACTGTTGTTCCACGTAGGTTCGTGACCTTCCTTTGTCCTAAGTAATGTCTTGTGTCACGTCTTTGGTGTCATATTTTGGATCCTTCCTCAACGACAGCACTGAAACCTTGGATTAGCTTCAGTCTTGTGGACAAGCTCTTCTCTTCGGAAGACCTCTCCCCATTTTTGGACTATCCGCTGCTGTCCTCACCCTCCCTCCCGCTCTAGCCAGCACCTTCGTGTATCCATGCATTATGCCCAACGGCGGGGAGCTCAGTCCCGTCCCGACCTCAGAGTTGGGATCACAGGTTGAAGGCGCGGCAGCGTGTCAGAGCGGAAGGTCACCCGGCTGCCGCAGCGGTATGTCCGGCGACGAAGCTGGCAACACGGGAGGGCAGACGTGTGACCGAGACGTCCCTCTTCCCACAAGCCCTACTCACCACGAGCCATTATTTCTTCTATCATCCGATCTGAGCATCTTAGCCATAAACGGTTGTCCCACTGTCATTCCAATGCTCCCTTTGCCGATGCACTATCTTGTACCCTTCATAAATAGCGGTACCCAGACGTACCTCTCTATAAAAGCAATACAACCGACGTTTTCTCTCAGTACAACTCGCGTGTCTCTCTCTTCAGCGGTCATTCTATCTGCCTCTCTCCGCCCCCAACCGATCCGATTTCCCGTTAGATATCAACTGTTGCACTTAGGCTTTGTGCATTCCCTTTACCGATGTCTTGTCCACTTTTGTTTTTACCCTGCCTCATTGGCAGCACTGCAAACTTGAACTGTTCCCCGCAGGCTTCTCTTGTGCACAAGCCCCCGAAGACCTCTGTCCGTTCTCAGACCGTCCACCGCTATCCTCAGCCTCCGTTTGCCTTCGCCCCCCCCCCTGCTGTAGCCTAGCACCTTCGCGTATGCAGAGCGTATTCATGCATTATGCCCAGCGGCCGGGAGCCCCGCCCCGCCGTCGGAGCTGGAGGTC